CTGACCACCCGACCATCCGACCATCCTGCCATCCCGCGACCCGCCCTAAACCCTAAACCCTACACCATCCAGGGAGTCGGACCCGACCTTGAACCTTGCACCTTAGGCCCTGAACCACCATCCCGCCATCCGGCCACCGGACCGTCCTGCCATCCTGCCGTCCTGCCATCCGAACATCCTCCTATCCCAGCATCCCGCCAACCTGCCCGTCCCGCCATCCTGCCAGCCGACCATCCAGCCATCACACCACCCGACCATCCTCCCATCCTCCCATCCTCCCATCCTGCCATCCTCCCATCCGATGGTCGGGCTTCAACGCGACACCCCACCATACGGTGGTCGAGCTTCACTGCCCCGCCCGGCCGTCGTGCCATCCTGCCATCCGGACCAACCGACCATCCTGCCATCCGACCACCCGACCGTCCTGCCATCCGAGCGCCCGACCATCCTACAGTCCTGTCATTCGAACACTCGACCATCCAACCTTCCTGCCTGCCCCCCACCGGACCGACCGACCATCATGCCATCCGGCCACCCCACCGTCCTACCATCCGAGCGCGCCACCATCCTGTAGTCCTGCCATCCGAGCGCCCTACCATCCTGCAGTCCTGCCATCCAAACATCACCCTATCGTCGTGTCGCGCCATCAGATGGTTGGGCCTCAACGCGACACCCTACTATCCGATGGCGGGGCCTCAACGCGACACCCCACCATCCGATGGACGAGCTTCGACGCGACACTCCACCATACGATGGTCGAGCTTCACCGCTCCACCCGACCGTCGTGCCATCCCTGCATCCTTCAACCCTGCCATCCTGCCATCCTGCCGCCCGATCATTCTCCGATCTTGCCATTCCGCCATCCTGCCATCCTCCCATCTTGCCATCCCACCATCCGACCATCCGACCATCCGATGGTCGGGCTTCAAAGCGACACCCCACCATACGATGGTCGAGGTTCACCACTCCACCTGACCGTCGTACCATCCTGGCATCCTGCAACCTTGTCATCCTGCCACCCGACCATCCTCCGATCTTGCCAGTCCGCCATCCTGCCATCCCACCACCCGACCATCCAACCATCCTCCCATCCTCCCATCCTGCCATCCTCCCATCCGATTGTCGGGCTTCGACGCGACACCCCACCATACGATGGTCGAGCTTCAGCGCTCCACCTAACCGTCGTGCCATCCTGGCATCCTGCAACCCTGCCATCCAGCCATCCTGCGGCCCGACCATCCTCCGATCTTGCCATTCCGCCATACACCCATCCTGCCATCCTGCCATCCCACCACCCGACCATCCGACCATCCTCCCATCCCGACATCCTCCCATTCGGTGGTTGGGCTTCAACGCAACACCCCACCATATTATGGTCGAGCTTCACCGCTCCACCCGGCCGTCGTGCCATCCTGCCATCCGGACCAACCGACCGTCCTTAGGCTACCATCCGACCACCCCACCGTCCTCCCATCCGAGCGGCCGACCATCCTGCAGTCCTGTCATTCGAACACCCGACCATCCAACCTTCCTGCCTGCCCGCCACCGGACCAACCGACCATCATGCCATCCAACCACCCGACCGTCCTGCCATCCGAGCACCCTACCATCCTGCAGTCCTGCCATCCAAACATCCCGCCATCCTCGCATCCTGCCATCCAACCATCTTGGCATCCGACCTTCCTGCCATCCGACATTCCTGCCATCCGGCCTTCTTGCCATCCTGCCATCCTGCCGTCCGGCCTTCAACCATAGACCCCGAACCACCAACCACCGTGTGTCTAAACATGCATTCGACCGTCCGACCATCCGACCTTCCTGCCATTCCACCATCCGACCAATCGACCATCCGACCAATCGACCATCCGACCATTCCACCATCCGACCAATCGACCAGAACCCCAAACCCTACACCATCCAGGGAGGCGGACCCGCCTTGAACTTTGAACCCCGTCCTGCCATTCTGCCATCGTGCCACCCCATCATCCCACCATTATGCCTTCCTGCCTTTTTTTTTTTTTTTTTTTTTTTTTTTTTTAAAGGCTAATT